CACTCCTCATATACATGTTTCTCTTTCGGGTATATCACTTTTGCTATGTGTAAAGCGATGTATTATTTTAACACATGTGAGAGTGATGTTGGGCTTACTCTGCTTACAGTAGTTCAAGTATTTACCGACATGTCAGCTTAATGTGGGCGGCTTCTCGTAGTAACGTACGTACCCAGTGGAGAAACTTACGTGCATGAAAGGGGTGCTGACAAACTGGCATCTTAGCAGGAGCAAACATTTTATTCGAATCGCCGATCCTGGTTTCTGCAATTTGCAGAACTGAGCAGCCTATGACCCAAATCACCTCGGAAATAACAGTAGCAAAGGTTAAACCACTGGTACATTTATGGAGGACACGTCTTTGGCACCGCAATTCTCTGACGCAGTTATGTCCTTTAGACATGACAGAAACCTTTGGTCGAATTTGTTTCGAATCCCGCTTTGCCCTGATTATGTTTTTAGGTTTGCCAGTACCATACCCGTGCTGGTTTCACCAACCGGTGACAGTTGCTATAAACATAGCCATGCAGCACTAACAACACTCATCAAGTGACATTGTGAAACATATGTAACCTTAATTTTATATTCTGTTACACGTCCCATTTTAATTCTGGAAATCCAATAGTCCTGAAACTCTACTGTCTTTGTCCACCTATTTCAACTTAATTCAACGATTTTATAGCGATATTGAAATATTTTGCTCATGGGCGAGAATATTTTCCTTTACTCAAAAACTGTGTTTTAGTGTCGCGAATACATTAAGGTGTTCTTAGAAGTTTCCTGTCACATAATTTAACTCATTTTAACTCTAATTCACCTATTTTACGGAGTTATTGAAATATTTCGCCCTGGACGAGAAAGTTTGGCCCATGGGCGAGAATATTTTCCTTTACTAAAACTCATGGTTTTGTTTCGCAAGTTCATACAGATGTTCTTACAAGTTTCAGGACACACAGTGTAACTCATTTTAACTTAATTCAACGATTTTATAGCGTCATTGAAATATTTCGCCCATGGGCAAAAAAAGGTTTTGCCCATGGGCGAGAATATTTCCTTCACTCAAAACCAGTGTTTTAGTGTGGCGAATACATCAAGGTGTTCTTAAAAGTTTCATGTCACAAAATTTAACTCATTTTAACTTAATTCAACTATTTTACGGCCTGTTTGAAATATTTCGCCCATGGGCGAGAAATCTTTCCTTTGCTCAACAGTTTTAGTATCGCAAATACATAAAGGTGTGTCTACAACGATACACATGATTCAACTCATTTTAGATTAATTCAACTATATTATGGCGTTATTAAAATCTTTCGCCCATGTTTTCGTCAGTCCCTTTAAAGCATCAACTGATTGTGTACAAAGTATATTGTATCATGTGAAATATACTTTATATATAATCATTACATTACTATTTAAAAGGGGCCTTTGGTTGGATGTTTCTTTTATAGAAGTTTTACAAATTTCACCTGTTTTACATATTGTAACGATCTTTAATGAACCCGGCCTTACCTCTTAAAACGTTTTGACAGTTTATCATACGAATTCATGCGCGTGTACTCAAATTCATTGACGTTATTTTCCACATTGTGTAAGTTAAGTTAGTTTCTTTTTCATTTCCCATATTATGTATCGTTGATACATCACACTGGGCCATTACATGACACTAGGTATGCAATAATACAGGTAACGTGCACGTATTTGAATGGAAAAAACCGATTCGTCTTTCATTGCATAACGTTTGACATTCTCACATATCTCACATATCTCACATTCTAACGAAATCTCGAAATAATTACTTAATTACATGCGGTGTCGAACTGACCAATGGGAATTATGTTTTAATGCGATTGAGGAAAACTTGAGTGAATATTATGACAAAAAAGCAACTCTTAAATGTATTGCCACTTTTGGTGTGAAAATGGTTACAGTTCAGAAAAAAAACAGCCTTCTTATGATAATTCTCATATTCTCATTAGTATGTTGTATCTAATTACAGTGTCGGCCTTAAGAAATACATTCATGTAATTGCGAAACAAAAACATGAGTTTTAAGTAAAGGAACATATTCTCGCCCATGGACCATATAATATTGCTGGACTATTGCTAAAAGCGGCGTAAAACCACACTCACTCACCCACTCTTCAATTAAAAGAATCAGTCGATTAGTACTGTAAAGAAACATCAGCATTGCGTATTTAGCGTTTACGTAGATTATGAGTGAGTGAGTGAGTGAGTTTAATTAAAGTCACGTCGGCAGTATTTCAGCCATAATCTGACTTGAAAGAGTTGGACAAGATTAATAAAAAACTGTCCACGAAGGACAGTAGAATAACTAGCAGTATATCACAGCTTGACTTAAAACTAGTTGTAGAACATTAAAACTATTTGAACAGTTGGATACGACACAATATAAAAATGGGGCTATAGATCACCAGCAACAAGGTGAAGGTCACCATACTAGGGACCAAGGGGACTTACTGTACCTCTGCTACCTGCATGGTTCCCCAGCAGGATTTACACCTTTACCCGAGTTACCGGTGATTGTTGCAAGTTTAGCCAGAGATTAAAATCAACAAATATTCTGCAGTTAAAATAGAGGTAGATATAAATATACATTGAAAGAGGTGGTCTTACATACCCTCTCAGGGGGACAATAATTTTACGCTACGTCAACCCCCGTCAAGGGCATAGCCACGAACAATCTCTGTTAATAATCATACACTACCGATTCATAAAATACATATCAAAATTTGTGAACTAGTTCAATATCTTTTAAAAAGGTAAGGATTAAATATGAATTAACATTGTTAAAAAGGTCCTTAACTGTTTTGACACTGAAATATTGATCCCTTGTGATGAAAAAATCGATACAGTCAGGCAGGACATGCCTGACTGTGATTCTTTCATCAGAAGGGATGCAAAACGGAGGATCCTCACCTTTCAATAGATAATCATGAGTATATCTGCTGTGGCCAATACGACATCGTCGCATAACGACCTCATCAAATCTGGACTGACAACCCAAGTAGGTGTAACCAATATTGGGTTGAATGGCATGTAATTTATTGTCTACTTGGGTGTCCCACTTCTGTTGCATTAGATCACGGATGTAAGATCTTATTGCAGGCTTCAAATCACTATATGGTTGCAGAAGTGGTGTCACAGACTTGTTGAGCGCCGCCTTTGCAGCAGCATCGGCCATGGTATTTCCGGTTATGCCCACATGGCTCGGCAACCAACAAAATACGATGTCGCATTGGCCAGTTGAAAGATCATTGTATAGTTCTAAAATATGTAAAATAATCGGATGAGTAGAAGATACCTTAGTTAACGCCTGAAGACAAGAAAGAGAATCCGAAAAAATGATGAACTGTTTACATGAAGACTGTCGTTGAATATATACCAAGGCTGTAAGGATAGCATTGGCCTCAGCAGTGAAAATAGAGCTATTGTCTGGTATTCTAGACGATATAATCTTGGATCCAACGACAGTGGCACTTGCTACTTTGCCACCGTCCTTGGATCCATCAGTAAAAATTGAACGGTGAGTGTCATATTTGCTTCTCAGTTGTAAATATTCCTGTTGATATACTAGTTGATTTGTGTCAGATTTTAGAAAGCGTGTCAGTGAAATGTCTACTTCTTGCCTCACCAACTGCCAGGGAGGAGTAGACAAAGGCCGGAAAGGAGAGACGTAGATTATGAGGGCGGTCTGGTACCCTAGTGGTTAAAGCGTTCGCTCGTCACCCCGAAGACCCGGGTTCGATACCCGACATGGGTACAATGTGTGAAGCACATTTCTGGTGTCCCCCGCCTTGATGTTGCTGGAATATTGCTCAAACCAGCGTAAAACCGTGCTCACTCAGGAGATTATGAAAAACGCAGCAAAAGCCTTTACAGAATCAAAAGAAATCTCTGCTTAAAGGCAAAATCTGTTGTACGATTCCGAATATATCATTAGCAGGTGTCTATGAATCACCATCACTTAGTGACGATACGTAGTGTACACGTAAGGTGAGAGCATTGTGGTCCACCAGTGGCACCCGTCACAAACATATGCAAAAGAAATTCAAGAGTTCACCTGCACAAACGCGGGAACATAAAGAAAAGTTAAAACAAGGAATTACATCGCACATCATTTTCATCACGTGTCCTTCCACATCTGACATAAAACATAGTAGAGTAGAATTTCAGATACAATATCTTTCGAGCCTTTTGGATGAGCAAGGAAGGGAGGGATGGGATGCATACAATGGTCGCTGAGATCTGAACGGGAGTAATGATCATGAAGTCTTTATTCTTTCACAATGGACGTCGGGTGCTGTCCAAGAGACCATCTCCTCTGACGATGTTTTACGCGTTTATCACCATCTAGTCATTTCCTTTCAGATATAACAACAACTGGGTCATTCCTTCTGATAGCGTCAGGTTGTGACCTGATATAAGTTCACACGTCATGTTTGAATCTTGGGATGCATCTAGATACGCCATGACACAGAATGGTCTGTCAAACACAATGTCAGTCACAGACTGAATCACTGTAGTGCTGTCAAGGTCAACAACATAAACTTTACTGTTCCTGCCGTCAAAGTAGAAAGCCTAGATGTAAGGCACCTGCCTCATCAATTTGATTGCAAACAATAGGTATATCAGAGAGGAGCTTGCCATCAAACTTCATCCAGAGACAGAGCTGCTGCTTATGCTTTGGACATCCTATGATGCGTACACTCAGTCCAGTTGATTGGTTCCAGCAAGTATCTACGGGGTTGGCAGTCATTGCTGTCTCAAACACCATGATTCTTTTCTCAGTGACCTGTTTCAAAGAGAAGCTGACTTTCACCAGAAACATCTCTCGGCTTCCAGCTCTGATAACCAAAGGTATTGATGTCAACAGACGTCTCCACGACCTTATTCGACATCCTGTATCTTGTGGCGGAGTTTTGGGCTTTTCATTTGTTCCCAAAGTATCAGATACAGTGATGTCGTCACTCGCTGTACTGCGTCCCATTCAAGGTGCGGACCTGGGGATAAAACAAGAGACAAATCAATAACACAAAACACATTCATTGTAAATCTAATTCACAAATACACATTATTGAATCAGTATAACATTACACCCATTCGAGTTGACAGCCGCCTCATAACAGAATGTTTTTATTAAAATGATACAAGAAGAAATATGAATTTTTTCACCTCCCATGTGTTATTCCTTCCAGTCAAAAAAATTACATTTCATTTCAGCGAAATACAAGAGAACAAGAGAAGCACACCTTCATCTATCCTTGCAACTTTCACCACTATCTATAGCGTGTGGTTTTTGTTTGTTTGTTATTTTTCGCCGCCAGCTATATGAAGGCGGTCTGTAAATGTTCGCGTCTGGACCGGACCATCCAGTGATTGAGATCATGATCATCGATCTACGCAATTGGGATATTATGACAAACAACAACCAAGTCAGCGAGCCTGACCACCCGATCTCGTTAGTCGCCTCTTACGGCAAGCATCTGGTGCTTGTGAAACCGACGAGCATGCGTGTGATGTAGACAAACAAAGAGTCATAGTCAGGGTTAAATTTTTGTTCGAACCCAGGCATAACCGTCTACGGAAATCCATAGCAATATATCACAGGTCAAGCAGTGCCCCTTATGTTGATGGGCACATGACATGATATGTTGAATCTTAAACACATGAGATCTCACATGAAATGGCTTCATCTCCACTGGAAATCGTCTTGTCCACATTAGCGACTGAAACAGATTACAATGTAACTAAGAAATGAAATTCACCAACTGTCGAACAAAAGATTATGATATACCTTTATCTGTTTACAAACTAAATGTTAGTTTCACATACTAAAACAAACTATAATAATGTATATATCCAACCGTTTACATTTAGTTATCAAGTTAAGTCATTACAAGCAGACATGGGACAGTAGTCATCACAAATTTTCGAACCACAGCTACCTCATGTCGACAATAACATTTTATAGATATTTTTTACATACATGTACATAATAAAAATTAATATACCCTTTTGAAATTCTGCAGGTGTCATTGTGATGGTATTGTATCTGTCAGCCCCTGGTACATATCCCGGCCTCTGAGTTGGGAAGTATGCGACTGACCTTATCAGTCCTGCTCCCTGGATTGCGGAGGAAAGGTGGGTCAGGTTGGCAGGTACAAAGCCTACGCCTGTCCTCGTATATTGTATCTCAATGTGAGACTCCTGCAACATCTTTCTGAAAGAAACAGCTGATGATGTCATAATTTGTAGATCTTCTGTCTGGTCAGCTCTACTCCTCATCTGCCGTGTGTAGTCCAAAGAAGACTTTACCTTGTTTAGCAGTTATTACTACAAACGTCTTCAAGGTGTAACAAAAGGATGTGTCTTCTGTCCTGAACTTCTTTTATCATTTTATCAAATCTTTGGTGAAGGATATCTTTGGCAGCTTTCTTGGAAAGTTCTAAATTTGTTTTAGATCTGCTTCTGTCCCGCTGAACATTTCTACCTTCTCGTCAAGTTTGACAAGAGTGTCGTCAGAGGCATGTGCTATGTCGTGGGGCGCCTCAGTAATAAAATCAACTTCGTGTCCACTCCCTTTATTGTGCTCAAGTACAGTGCAAGAAACACAGATCACAAATCTGCAGGTATGGCAATAGAACTGTAGTGGCTGTTTGTGTTGTCTTGGAAACACTGATGCCGGGATTCAAAACTCTCCAGCGGCAAGTCTTTCATCTGCTCAAAAGTCACTGTCCTGTGTTTTCTTGTGACTTTGTTCCTTGTGTGAGCATTTAGGCATATCGAACACAGGAATAATCTGCAGTTCATACATTGGGATACCTATATATATATATATATATATATATATATATATATATTTTTTTTTATATTTGTATGTCAATATATTTGTGCTTTTATATATCTATATATTCCGTGTTTACACTATATTGCTACCTAATACGAAAGAACGATGTGTGTTCACATTGCTTCATATAGAAGAATGCAGTGGAGTATTGATGATGTGAGGCAAATGAAGGGTAAAACCATTCACAAGCACGAATAGTTTAACATCAGTTTTGAAGATTCTAGATACATATACAGCATTAAACACATATCCAATTAAGAGAGGCTAAATTATATTTATACCACAAGACTTCATATATCCTGTATAACAATGGCCTTTCCTTTCAAAAACAATAATCATGGATTCTAAAACATCCTGCCTCTGGCTCCTGGGGATTCCCGGTTATGTGTGGTCACTTGCAGTCTATGCGGCTCGTAAGAGGCGAGAAAATGGATCTGGTGGTCAGGCTGGAAGACTTGGTTGATTTGGCGTCATCATACCTCAGCATAGATCGCTGTTCATTATATTATCAATCACTGGATATTCTTGGCCAGATTCGATTATATACAGGCCGCCGATTTATAGCTGGATTATTGCAGAGTGTGTTATTAAACAAGAAACTTCTATCCTTGGTCATTGCAACATGTACTCACTGTACTCACTGTACAAACTGTACTCACTTAATACAAACGTCTCTTGAAACTATTTCTGTTGTAATTATTCGTGGGGCGTATACTGACCTACAGCCCTGCATATGTGTCACACACACAAGAACTGACAGGTTTTGACAATGCTCACATAGACGGCCGGGTTATTACAACAGGGTTTGATGTTATCGTTGTTGGTTATCTCAATGGCCGCGTTCCTGTTTTAGTTAGTGAGTGCGTTACACAACATCATTTCGTCAACATTTCAGCCGTATAGCCACAGGAATAATGTTTGCAATCATAAAAAAGGTATATACAATAAAACAGTAAAAAAACAGATTCAGTATAAAATATTCTCTTTCAGATATGTGAAGTTAGGTTTCCGCATTCATTCAAAACTTTTTATCATGTGTATTCTGTAAGTGGTCATACATTGACCAGATAGTGTATTCTGTCAGTGGTCATAGATTGACCAGATAGTGTATTCTGTAAGTGGTCATAGATTGACCAGATAGTGTATTCTGTAAGTGGTCATAGATTGACCAGATAGTGTATTCTGTAATTAGTCACTGATTGATAAAAAGGATGAAATGAAGCTTGTCTTTCTGTCATAGTATACAATGTGCGTGAAATAAGTTTCAGTATACTTTTCCTAGCACTACAACTCAAACTGGAGCATGTATAATATGCAACACCAATTAATAATCGGAGATATTGTGTAGGTTTATAGCTATTATGACAATAAAAAGTCAATAAACAATATTACGTGGCAGTAGATTTGGTGGCTGCTTATTAAAGTGTTCATGAAATGTTTACGTTTCCAGATAAGGGTAGATTTGCAACAAGGTACTTCAAAACACCCACCTTTGTGTATCGACGCTGGGATAGACTTATTATTCGATACTATTTGTGAGGTTTCATGTTCCGGCAGGCTAGCTGTACCTATATAAGAGCAAGGCGAGGGTGATTCGAGGTATTTTACGACCTGACCTACGAATTATTTACTTGTCCAGTGCGGTCGAGATTCCAATCTGGAAGCGCTAATCTTTCTTCCTGCTTTCAACACTGTTTCCCGAATTCATGAACGGAGAACGTGCCTCATTTAAAGCATTCGACTGTGACAAATCCGGGATATAATGTGTCTGCAGCTCCCAACTGCTACTCGAAGAGGCGACCTAATGGATCGGATGGTCAGGTTCGGTGACTTGGTTGATGGCTCGTCAACCAACCGAATCGGCGTGGAACGTTGCTGATAATATCAGTCACTGGATTATATGGTCTTCAGTGGCCTATTTACACGCCTCGATGGCTTGAATAATACGAGGCACACACATACCAAGTGGGTACAAACATTTTCCTTTATTTCCGTCACATCTTTTCATATAGTTGTGACAGTCTTGAAACATCACAGATGTATTCATATTCAAAAACATAATAAATCATGTACAAAAGTGAGACGTTTGTGCATTATATGCTCCAACCACCCGCGAGGAACAGAATAACATCATGGGTGCTGCTATAGAACATGCATATATATTCAAGAACAATATATAATTACTAAAATACAATAATCATTCAAAACTATCATGGAATCAAAGCTATGAAATTCCGCACATCCTCATCCATGTTGAAAAGTAAATAGATACATATACAATGTCCACTAATAACCAGTCTCGATTATCCAACAAAACAGATTCCAGTGGGTGCACAATAGTATGGGTTATTTGTTGGGATAATTTGAGCTCGATCATGATCAAGTCCTCCACTGGATAAGTATGTTTAAACAACTGGTGTTCATTGTACAGCTGCTGACAGAAGAGAAAACATAAGTCTCCAAAACAAATCACATCATGGCATATGTTACACTAACAAAACACCAATGCAATTTAAATATTGTTACCATTTTGCAAAATATAGATGTGATATAGATATAGATGAGTTACACAGTAGAGGCAATTAAGGATATTGGCTGATCACTATCCACACAAAAGACAATTTATTTCTTCATTACAGTACACATCTTTTTGCGACACCATTCCGCTTTGCTGCTGAATGGATGACGAACAGCTGCTGGTTAGTTAGTGAGTGAGTGAGTGAGTTGGGTTTAACGCCGCTTTTAACATTATTCCAGTAATATCACGGCGTGTCAGCTTAATGTGGGAGGAAAGCCCGAAGTGATGCAGGTCTCAGACGTTTACCACTTCGGTGAACCCACGAGCACGGGAATGGTGCTGACAAACCTAGAAACATAATTGGGGTGAACCGGGATTCGAACCCACACTCATAGGTTTCTGGCGTGCCCAAGGGACGCAGCTCTGCACAGCGAATCGCGGCGCCTCAGACGACTGGGCCACCCGTGGCCCCGCTGCTTAGTTAGAGGGTGCCGAAATTCCTTATACAAATGGTTCACATGTCTCATTCAGATAGTACATCATTTGTACAGTATACAAATAATTAGAACATGTGTTAGTAATTTAGACTTTACATAGACCTACATGTATTATAGAAAGTTGTTGAGAGACATTTCATATTTTTGTCTAAATATTTTGGCTTTACAGACAGAGACAGACTGTATATTCAGCAGAAAGGCCATAGGCCCATAATACAGACAATGTTTGGTTGCATGAACTACGCATGCCAATGAAGTAATCTATATAAGTTTCTCTTAGTTTTGGACTTTGTATAAATATAAACATATGTTATACACAACATCAAATTTTTCTGATAAAATAATTTCAATTTAAGATGTTACAGTATGAGACTTGATATACTGCGTATAATCCGTCGCTACCGTGAAGGTATTGCCACGATAAATATTAACTGACTCACAGTTCAAACATGTGACCCTTCTTGTCAATGTTGTGGCCTGATATTAGTTCCCCTGTCATCTCTGATGTAGATGGTAGAGAAACGTACATCAAGACCCACAGTGGCGTGTTGAGTAGAACATTCGACACAGTGCTGAACGTGTTCCCATCCCTAACATTAATGACATGTATTTTCTGTGTGTTGCCATCAAGAAGAAAATTCCAGTGCAACTCACAGGACATGCCAACTTCATTCTTGAAGAGTGGCAGGTCAGTGACAAGTTTCCCATACCTCACCCAGACACACAGCTTCGTTTTGTGATTAGGACAAGCAACAACACTTACACTCAACCCCAACAACTGATTCCAATCAGAAGCTAATGGTGAAGGGGTAAGAGCTGTTTCAAATAGCATCGTATTCCTTTCTGCCTTCTGTCGTAGGCTGAATCGAGACTTCACCTGGAACATGTCAATGCGACGAGTCTTCATGATCAGAGGTTTCGATGCCATGACACATCTCTGGGATTGTATCCTACAGCCTGTGTCATTTGGCGAGACATCCGGCCTGGCATTAGAGATCGTAGTCCCTTCTACAGTCACGTCACGATTAGCAACGGTTGAGTCCCACTCCAGATGTATACCTTTTGAAAGGAGTAGGAAACATATGGCTAATATTCAGAAATCACGGTCGTCCATGGCAAATGTGGATACATTTTGAATCCATTGTTGAAAATAGATCAAAGTATGTA